AATAGAAGCGCACTGTCTTGGACTCAAAGATTTTGCTCAAAATTTGCATAATGATAACAGACCTTAAAATGAATACATCCGTAAAACTATAACAACGTGTCTGCAGGAAATAACTGGAAATGGGAGCAATAAAAGATTTGTTCTTAGGAGCGTAAATATCACACTAGCTTTCGAGAGCAACAAATGGAAAAATTAGCACTTAATACAAAAGAAATAACGTGTCACAAAATTTTCATGAGTTACAGGCCAACGCAGGCGAAACATAGCCCACAGAAAAACCTCTTTGGCATATCAGCATTCTTTATCAAGAAATTAGGTACTTAGTATTAAGTATATAAATGGCCTGTTACATACAAAATAGAAATATCTGTAGTAATGAGTCAAGAAAAAAAAGGAAATAACCGAAGTTTGGAAAACGATTAGGTGATGTCATCTGAAGGACTAATAGGAAGTAAAAGGCCTTTTCAAAGAGGCTTCGCGACAATCGGAAGCAGTACAAGTCTTCAATGGTAAAAAGTCTATCATTTGGTTGCTTGTGGAGTAGGTATCAAAATAATGGATCAGAGTTGTAAATGGCAGTAAGTGGACGTTCTAAGACTACAGCAGATCAAGATATCTATTTTTTGCATCAAGATATCTATTTTTTTTAGTCGTGACATCTGCAGGCATGACACTAGTCGTGCCTGCAGATGTCACGACTATTGTCGACTGCATTAACTGAATTAGGCACAAGACTAGCAAGACTAGTGACGTGTCTAATTCAGTTGCTGCATATCAACTTGCTTCCGACTTTAGAAAGTCGTCAGTAAGAGTCATCAAACAGTTCATAAGCGGTTATTTGCACAATAAGTGGTTTCCATTTCACTGACAACCTCTTAAACTTGACTCAAAACCACCTCAACTGCACTCAGCAAGATTGTGTGTGGAGGAGTTACAGCTTGGTCTGCAAACTGTTTCCCAAGAGTTGTTGGTCTGCAGGATGCCGAAAACTCACTATCATAATGGTAACATCAGCGAAATGTAAGCAAACGAAACGAGAAGGCGGTAGATCGATGATTTGAGCAGGGATTGCTGTCGGCAGTCCCACTGATCTCTACATCTTCTCTTTCAGTGTTGTGACTGCAGTGCGGGATGTAGGTCATGCCCTCCTTTAATATGTTCACAATTTTTTTTTTCTTTTTTGCAGTCAGGAGTTCTTATACCATTTTAATTGACAATAACGCATGAGTTCCCAGAACTTGTATTACAGGCCAATATATAAAATCGGTAGCATTGTTGGCTGCAGAATGGTTATCGAGATCATCCAACATGAATCTCATGAAGCATGTACGGGTCAGGTTTGAAAATGCTTAATTTTTAACTCAATATTTCTTTTTTATTAAATTTTTTTATTCGGATTTTTTTTATCTTCGGTACTCATTCTTGTATTTTTAATCTCTGCTGTGAGTGTTTTCCCAAAATTGACCCAATCTGCACAAAACATATCATGGTAGCGTATACAAACGTATTTTATGATGCATAGAAGTTTAGTCTCGATTTTCTTGCTTAGTTATCAGAGATGTGCTTTCACAAAGATCTTCTAAAAATATGCATAGTAAGAACAAAGTTGGTGACTAAAGTAATACACTGTCTTAGTTAGGATATTTAGACTTTAATAACAACACATGAAAAAAATGCTAGATTTGTGTGACTGAAAGAAATGCAAGAATGGTCACAGATTTTCCACCTATTCTTTGGAGGAGAGTTAGTCTAGTCCCCTTCATTTGTACTGTTTTTATAGAAATATTATGCATAATTTATAATTTCTTCTTCAGTGCTACTACTATTTCACCACCACCACCACCACCACCACCACTTCTATATCTGTAAACTTACTAATACTACTATCACTATCAGTCATCATCACACATCACGTGTAAATACATTTGTGTGTATCGGTAATGACGTGACATAAATGAGATGATCTGAAGATCTATTTGATTTGTAACAACTTTTTGGGCTGTTTTATTTCGAAACAGATAGATATCAAAGAGTTTCAGCACATGATATTTATTTTTTTATGTTACAAGGCGTCATTAAATATACAATATAAGAATGCATATGACACAAATTTTGACACCAGTACGGCAAAACATATGCGAAAAGAAAAAAGGAAAGAAAAGGGAAAATTAATTTTTGAAAATAGTTTTACAGTTATGATCGGTTCATACATTTATCACGTAGAGGGAAATATAAGATGGCCCTGATTTTATGAATTCAAAATGAAGTCATGACATGCTTTTAAAGAGGATATTTGCGCCTTTCTGCCAGCATTTACATAATTAAATTATATTGGGAGTTATATGTTACTAATAAGATACTTGAAAAAATCCGATTACAAAGCTTTTCAAAATATGGGAAAGAATTAATTGAAATTGTGTCAGTATTGTGGATGAGAAGGTCTCTTTTACACAATACTAAACATAGAATATAGCTTTTAATATGAACCTTATGAAGTAAAAATTTATGCTACTAAAATCAATGCACATAATTTAATAACTAAAGATGAAATTTTCCTTACTTTTTAAATAGTTCAAGGGTATATTTCCCACGTATCCTCGTAATTCAGTGGACAGTACATCTAGATAATAGCTATAAAGTTTTGGATTCGATTCCCGTGTACGGCATGGTAAATTTTTCAAGGTTTCTTTCGAAGAATTTCTAATAACTCAAGAACTTTACTTTTAAAATTCATAGAGATATATATGATTAATAGTTTCCCGGCTAGGGCACGGATTCACTAAAGTAGTCCAATAGGGAAACCATTAATCATCAAAATAAGAAACTCTTATTTCGTAATTTACCCCTAAACTTGAATGGCGAATCTTCAGTTTTACGTGGTAATAGATAACGAAATGTATTGAAATTAGCTCTCGAGTATCTCCAGAACTCTGCACGTAAAGGTATGGGTACACTGCATTTTAGTTTATTAAATTAGCATTAATATTTAAAATTTTGCTCTACGGGAGCTATATGGAGAGCTAAATTTTAAATTTGAAAGCTCTAAGACTGTTTTAAATAATTTATCATGTTTTGAAAAACTTTTCTAATGGCAGTATGTCTCTAGGTTTCATACTTAGAAAAAAAAGTTTGTAGCCACTTTTCGGATATCTTACATAATGAGGAAAATTTTAGAAAGGAAACAGGTGCAATCGGTACTCAAGGCGTGGCGTATAAAATAAAATGGCACAGCAGAAAATAAGGAAATGGCTATTCCTGAAATGGAAAGAATACGAGAACTTTTACACAAAACGAGTTAAGACGTTTTATGAATTAATTAACATTAAAAAAATTTTTTTTGTCATCTATATATACTCATATAAGATTTTTTAAATTTATTTTTATTTAAGTGAAGCTAACTAGACACCACTTACTTTTCTTTAGACGAAAGTTTACAGTGGAATCTATAGTATGTAAGAAGAGTCTTCCTCTTTTTATTTCGGATTCCTTTTATATTACAAATGTGTAGGAAATTTTATATTTAAAATTCTCCAAAATGTAAGCAATGTCATTCAAATGTTTAAGAAAAACCGAAACGGGAGAAAAACTAAACTGTTGTAGTTATCACCAAATATTTTTTTTTTTTTTTTGGTTTCGTAGACTGAGTAACTAATGCGAAATTACCACTAGGGGGAAATTTAATAGTTTCAGGGGGAAGAGGTCAGGCTCTTGTTCAGCTGTTGAGTATTTAGTCTTAGTTTATGAATATAAAAAACTACTTTTATTCAAATTTTGGTTTTTACGAACATTTTCGATACGGCTCGTTGTTTAATTTATAAAACACATTAAAAAGTAATCCAAGTCTAAATAAACGTATATATGTATTTTTCAAAGTTTGAAGAGGAGTGAAGGGGAAATAATCTTCTGACAATGGTGAAAGAGGTGCGTGGGGCAGAAAAAGGTGGACAACCACTGCTGTAGACTATCTCGGAAGACCCTTCAGTCTTAGTCTCTCGGTACATACAAAAAATGATTTTTGTAACGATATACCAAAAATGCGTCATCTTCCCAGAACAAAGTTACGACGTCTGCATGGGATTTCTTGTTTTGCGATTTATATTTCATCATTAAGAACTGAAGTGAAATATTTGGGGAGTATGGAGTAATTCTAAAAGTACATAATTTTACCAGGGATGCTATATTTTTTACGACTTGATGTGTTTCATTACTTCATTATTGCTGTTAATATGTAAGAAATTTTATCCTCTTTTAACGCAGGCCTTCATGATTTAACTAGAAGTATGTCCTCCAGTTAGCAAGCAAGATATCTCGAGTTCGAATCTAGGCGAGGGCACTGCTGATTTCCATTTTTCTTTCTTCGAAAAGCCTAATACAAGCCTTTTACAAGTAGCTCCCGAACTAAAACGCGGTGGACTATAATTCGTCCCCACCTGAATTAGGTGTCTGAATCCTTACCTTCCCAGTCTAACTTAAGTGTGTGTGGTGGTGGCAACATAAATTTTTGTCTCCTCATCGCATGCCTCTGTGGTCGAACTGGAAGCAGGCCCGGCTAGCAGTTGCGATGGTGGAAGTTTAAATCCCGGCAAAGGGTAAAACTGATTTTTGATAGTTCCTTCTCCGATAAAAGCCTAATGGTCTGTCCAGATACATCCATTATTCAACCAATATATTCTTTATTTTATTTCAACAGCTACAGTATTTTGATCTTCATATGGTAAATTGCATAGATCCAGAGGTTATGTTTCAAGCAGTTAAACTGATAACACAGAAGTATTTTTAAATTGTCTTTTAACCGAAACTCATGCTTAACAGAAAGGCATTATGAAGGAAAACTAATATGTAATTTTTTAAAATTTTTTTATGTAAGTTTTAATGAAGAAAATGTAATACGACTTAAGGATACTAGTTTATTCCTTTGGGCTAATAAATTATTTTACATTTAATATATTCCCAAAATAGTGAACTATGGAATTAAGCACTTGTAAAATATCAGATCTTACCCTTTAGGATGTTTTTCCAAGACATCTAGGACTGTATGTTCGCAATATTCAAAAACTAAATGCAGCTTTCTTTTTCTTCGGAAGACTTCAATGAGGTTTACAAGATTTGGATGCTTCAGTTGCTAGAAAAGATTTTCCAATTAAAACGAAATGAGTTTCAGCAATTAACAGTAGATACAATAAATACAGAGAGTATAAGAAGGTCTTTTTAGCAGAAGATTTATAATAGTTGTGACTTTTAAATTCTTCAGATTTTAAATATAGGTTTCACAAAATGCGACGAAACAAATTCAGTTTATGAAGGGAAACTAGAAAGGATACTGATAAACGACGGGGCACTTTACCGGTAACCCGTCATTTTGTTCACATATTTAATTGTATTCATAATTTAGGAAATATGTTGTATGATTCCAAAGTTTGATTAAAGAATTTAAATTTAAATATACCAATTGCCAAGTAACATACTTTCTGTTTAATACCTATGTATGTTAATAAAATGCTGAAATTTAGGAATCTAAATTCGAAATCAAAATTTACTGGATTGTCTCTATATCGCATAGGATTACTTTCCAAACAATTTAGACCGTTCCTCGCTTCTAATAATTAAATGTTGACTTCCTGGACTCTTTTTTTTTTTTTTTTTTTAATTTCATGTATGCTTGTGAGTAACAGCTTTTTTCTACAACTTGTTCTTGATTAAGGCAATAATAAAGATTTATGAAATCCTGAATCCTTTCCGAAATGTGTCCTCTTCCATTACTAAACAATTTAAAGAGTTTACACTGGATGCGGGGTGACACCAAAAGTATTATGTCTTTTCGAAAAGAAACTCATTCGAGAAACTTTAAGGCACTCTTTAAACCAAGGATGCACCTAAAATACTAAGCAGTATCTGGACGAATGGAATCATTGAATCAGCGATTCATTGAAAATGTATCAGCGATTACATTTTTGCAAAGCATGTCAGTATTTGAAGTAATCCTACTGTCTTGCAATGAATTTTTCCTAAGTCGTTTTATATTTTATTCCTTCTTCAAAGAAGCTGATCGTTTGAATTCATATCTATTTTCGAGCAGCTGTGATGGCAATCGACAAAACAATAATTCCCACTTACCTATGCGTTGCAGACATTATTCTCCTCAAAGCCTGAGAAACTTGGTGAGAAATTGGAAGCCTGAGATCACATTCCCACTAAACACTTAACGACAATCCTTTGTTTCAAGGATCAAAGCCTTAATGTTTACATTTTTCTTTCAAAGGCCCGCATATGGGAAGGACAAGATAGAATTTCCACTGCACATTATGCGTTTCACATAAGAATCGAAACGAACACAAGTCTGAATATCGTAGCATTTATTACGAGGGTAAGTTGAAAAATAAGTTTCCCCTGTCGACTGTGGTCAGAGTTGTGTATGAAAGTCAAAAAATAGAATGAGACATTAAAGATATGACATACCTTTATTTTATTATTCTCGTACGAGTACGTTGAGACATTTGTCATATCGCTTGATAAGCTTCAAAAAGTCCTCCAAGAAAAATTCACGCTTTGCATATGGAAGAAGCGTTGAACGGCTATGGGCGAAAGGCGACACAGCAGGAAAACGCGCAAGTCACCGATACACCATTGGGTAAAGGTCGCTGCAAATAAAGCAGATGGCGCTGTTGCGGTGCCTGCGCAAAGCGGAGACCAGCCTCTCATTTGAGCCCCCGGTAGGTATGGAGAGAAGGTGCGTTTTGAATTCGTGGTCAAAGGAGGAAATCAGAGCGGTTATCCGCTATGAATGGGCACGTGGAGTATCAGGAACAGAAATTCATAACCGCCTCGTGAAAGTCTATGGGCCAGGTGTGATGTCGAAGCAAATGGTGCGGAGATGGTGTCGCACATTCAGTGATGGACGTCAGCAAGTGGAGGACATACCGAGAGCTGGACGGACGCGCACGGCCACTACAGATGCAAATGTCAGGAAGGTGGATGACATGATTAGAGCGAACCGGCGTATCACCATCGATGAAGTAGCGGAAGAACTTGGAATCTCACATGAACAAGCTCAAAACATCATTCACGACATTCTTCGATACAGAAAAGTGTCAGCACGATGGGTGCCCCGACAATTGACCTCGACACACAAGGAACAATGCATGGGGGTCAGCCTGGAACATCTCGTGCGTTACCATGAAGATGGCAATGACTTTCTGTTTTGGATTGTGACGGGGGATGAAACGTGGGTCCACCATTCCACGCCAGAATCGAAGGCCGCATCTATGGAGTGGAAACATCCGTCATCACCTTTCCGAAAGAAGTTCAAGACAACTCCCTCTGCAGGTAAAGTGCTCCTCACAGTTTTCTGGGACGCCCAAGGAGTTTTGTTGCTGGACTTTTTGGAGGTTGGAACCATCAATGCTACGCGCTACTGTGACACCCTGTCGAAATTGAAAGAGGTGATTCGGAAAAAGAGGCCTGGCTTTCTCACATCTGGCGTTCTGCTGTGTGATGACAATGCCAGACCAAATTCGGCGACGGCAACGCAAAACCATATTGCAACTCTTGGTTCGGAGTGCCTACACCATCCGCCATACAGTCCTGATCTCGCACCAAGCGACTTCCATCTGTTTCCGGCTTTGAAGAAAAATCTCAGGGGAAGGCGCTTTGGAAGCAATACTGAAGTGAAACAAGCCGTTCAACACTTCTTCCATATGCAAAGCCCTGATTTTTTCCTGGAGGGCTTTTTGAAGCTTATCAAGCGATATGGCAAATGTCTCAATGTACTTGGTACCTATGTGGAAAAATAAAGGTATGTCATATCTTTAATTAATGTCTCATTCTATTTTTTGACTTTCATACACAACTCTGACCACAGTCGACAGGGGAAACTTATTTTTCAACTTACCCTCGTAATTTAGAAGTCAAACAACAAAAATCAGCGCTATACTTGCAACTTTTCAGAGGATTAGTTTCGATGGTTTTTATCGAACCACCAGCTTCAACTGTCAAAGTGCAAATGAACGAGATTAGATTATCGGATTAAGGCAAGGCTCTTATCTCGTCCATTTGCACTTTGGCAGCTGAGGGTGATGGTTCGGTAAAACCATGGAAGCTAGTCCTGTGAAAATTTGCAAATATATCCTGATTTTTTCTGTTTGACTTCTAAACTACTATTTATTTGGCGTGTTATTTTACCTTAATCTTAGCATTTGTTTTAAAGAAAATGTAAGCCACATTTAAGAAAATCAGATTATAAAATTAAGGCAAAGCACAGCGGGACCATCTGCTTACATGAAAGAATGCCTTTGAAGAGAATGTTCTGAAGAAAATTGGTCTACATTCCCATTACACGTGAGGAAAATCACAAAAATCTCATGCGAATGTACCACAGACATTCATAACGAAATATTCAGAACAAAATCTTGCACAAGTATTTCGCTTTTAACTCCTAGAAGATTTCAATTTAGGCTGATTACTTTTCATTCGTTTTCAATCCGCTTTCTTTTATGTTACTTGCATCGGCTCTTCGTAACTCAGTTTTGCTCTTTCTTAGACTAGTGCTCGTTTTAACTTGATACCCTGAGGAACAAACAGCAAAGAAGGTTGGTACTATTCTTCTTCCAAAGGTAATGTAAATGGGACATTTCGCCAGGTTTTCCTTCGGTTGAGGTTATGAATTATTTCATAATAATGACATAAGAAAAACTGATATCTTCTATAAGAAAGCAGTATTTTTAGAAATTATTTTCCCAAATTTTGTTTACTTAATCACATTTAAATATCTTATTTCAAAATTTTAAAAAAGGTTCTGAATTTCTGCGCCTTTCTTTTAAAACTACTGACATATTTACTTATTATTTCATACTTCGGCAAACTCTGGTTGATTTGTTCAAGAGGCAAAAAGAAGCCATTGAATAAGTTATTTACTTTCTCTTCGAAAATATCTACAGTTTATAGAAAAACTGATAGCAATCATATTTCGTCAAATAGGTTTTATGAAAATTGATTTTCATTAATTTATTCAATAACTTTGACATAGCAAATAAATTCTTAGAAACTGAATATTTATTTTTTGATGGCCGAATTTACTCTCGCGCTTTTGCGTCTTCCACTTCCTTCACAACAAAAAATTCAGTCGAAACGTTTCAAAAAGCTTGACATAGTTCTAAACTTATAATGCTAAAATAAAATCTGATGGACCAATATTTTACAGAATTTTTTCCATACCTCTCGGAGAAACTTCAGGTAGCTAAAGGAGCAATTTTCTGCTTCATGAAAATTATTATACACTCGAAATTACATATTGATTGCACTCTATGATTTGACAGCATTTTTAAAGAGTTTTACCAAGAAGAGTAGAGGCTTTCTGTTGTTATTCTTTGTTTATCTTTTGTAATATGTGGCGATTAGCAGTGACGATTTACCAATATGGTGACTTGAATATATTGTTGGCCATCCAAAATGCATAACACTGCTGGCCATCTAAAGTAACTGCTGCCACACGCCGCGGCATTGCATGAAAGAAGCTCTGGATGTGTTCTTGGCGAATGACAGCACATGCTGCCCCCACACGTAGCCTAAGTTCACCTTACCCGTGGGTGCGGCATGCCAGGATAAGAGTCTTCCAATTGCTGAAGAGACATGTTCAATGGGCGATAAATCTGAAGAATAGTCAAGCCAGAGTAACAATGCAATATGCTGATCTAATCCTTAATGGTGTTGCATTTTGGATGGCCAGCAGTTTATAATACTTAGTTTCAAAATTAGATTATCATTCTTTCAATTATTCTTTTTATTTGTTTCTTTATTTTTAGTTTTCCGAAATTTATCTTCTTTTTTAATAGCCGTTTACAGTTTATCATTTCTAAATATGCCTTTGATGAGTTTATGTATCTGATCATCATAAGTGCAGTTAACCAGATTTTTCTAACTGCTCTTTATAGTAAATACTCTAAGACTAAGAGTATTTGGTTGATAACTTTTATTAACGGATTTCATTTCCATCATCTCGCACAAAATGAACTGCACTCACGTTTAAAATTATCTTTACATGCAGGAAATCATAGATTTCTCTGAAAATGTGAACTATTATTTTGCAAATTTGTAAATTTGTCTGGAATTAATACATAACATCATAAC